GAGGACTCCGCAACATTGAGCAACACAGAGATTGTCATCTAGATGTGTATAAGAGACAGGATAGAGAGAGGCTACTTCCATCTATAGGATGAGACACTGGTATTGGATGACAGCAAATATCCTCTTTTTGCAATTGAATGGCTAGCATGCTTTAATGTTGATGGCAACAATAAACCTCATATGCACCTAGTCCGGTCAACACAATGTTGGACATGTATGCGAGGGCAGTTTGACGAAACGCATGAATCGACACCTGCCAGCCAAGCATGTGAAAATTGGCATGATGATGATGATGATTGATGGAAACAAGCAGGGGACAGAAAACGAGTGACATGCCCGAGGACCAGGAATGGTTAGGTAGGTGGCTACGAAGCTACAAACAAAGGGTTTGAGTGACGACCATGTACAAAGCAGTTTGGATTTGGAAATCTAGGCCATACTGGAAACCAGCTGTTCACCTTTCACTGTGTCAGTGTTTTCTCAGGTTTTCCCCTGTTCTCGAAACTTGGATTGAGAGGGACTGTGACTGTGTGTTTGGACCTTGAAGTTTCAACATGAAACCCCTGGCCATATTTGAAAGTGCTCTCTACTATTCAGGCCTTCCCTGGGAACTTCCAAACTACGTATTGTTTGCTATTCAGGCCTCCCCCGAGTCAATTTGAAATGAGCTCAGGAGAGAGCCAACTATGTGACAGACTTGGAGGAGTTGGGATTCCTGGGCTCCAGCATCATCATTGTCTTATTCCTTGTCCAGGGGCAGTGCTAGTGCTTCCTTGACCATCTCAAGGTGAACGGTACATCTCATGGACTGACTGTTTCTTCTTTCACTCTGTGCTAGACACGGGATCCCTCAACTGCACTGACTTCCCACGTGCTTTGTTTAGATGCCTTGACTCGGTCTCCTTTCCACTTTCCCTCATGCATGCTCGCCCTGCTTCTTAGGAGTTATTTCGTTCTGCCAACAGTAACTCTGCCTCCTCTTCTGTTGTGCACTTGTACTCATTTGAATGTTCTGCCTTTTGTGTTGTGCCGCCCCCGCATTCATATGAACATTCTCTATGTCTGGTGGCAGCATTACTTCCTCAGTGTCGTGCTCTGTGGAAAAGGTTCAGTCTTTCCTCTCGTATGCTCCAGCTTTCTTTCTTCCCTAGAGTCTGAACACCAATTTCTGATTCTCCAATCTCATTCTAGTTCTGACTCTATTTCTGACTCTCGTTCTGACTCTAGTTCTGACTCCTGTTCTGACTCTAGTTCGGACTCTAGTTCGGACTCTAGTTCGGACTCTAGTTCAGACTCTAGTTGGGACTCTAGTTGGGACTCGAATTCGGACTCTAGTTTGGACTCTGCTTCTTAAAAAAAAAGGGAAATGGACCATTTCTCGATTTATGTGTGTCATCCAGGCACAGGGGCCATGCTAATCTTGTCTGCATCGTTCCAATTTTAACGGATGTCCCAAAGGACGTTCGGACTCTGCTTCTAATTCTTGTTCTGAATCTAGTTCTAACTCTAGTTCTGACTTAGACTCTAGTTCTGACTTGAGTTCTGACTCTAGACTTGAGTTCTGACTCTAATTCTGACTTGAGTTCTGACTCTAGCTCTGACTCTAGTTGTGATTGACTTCTGACTCTAATTCTGTGTCTAGTTCCAATTCTATGGAGTCTGAACGCTGGTTCTCATTCTTGGTCTGACTCTATTTCCAGCTCTAGTTTTCGCACTAGTTCGCACGCTATTTGTGGCCCTCTGAAGTCTAAACTCGTTCTGACTCCAATCACAAGACAATCACATTAATGCGCCCTATGCACCTTTCTGCTTGAGCCTCAGGAGTAATTTATTTTCAAAGCGTCTGAAGTTGGTGGATGTCAAAACAGCCAACAGCTGCGGAGTTATTGTCACCCGAGCTGCTGATTTGTCTTGTTCTCTAGAATCTGGCTTGCAATGCTGTGGTTGTCCCTTGTCTGCTCGATCAAATGACCCCCGTCGTCTCCACCAGGCTGTTCCCACCCTCGGAACTGTGTTATCTGAACTAATCTCCTCTATTAATCTCTCTCTCTCTCTCTCTCTCTCTCTCTCTCTCTCTCTCTCTCTCTCTCTCTCTCTCTCTCTGTGTGTGTGTGTGTGTGTGTGTGTGTGTTCTACGGCCATTTTAGGCTGAATCTGGCCCCATGGGCCAGGGATTTTTGTAAAGTTACAAACTGGTAGGGCAACCAAAGGCCTGACGGACCATGGAGAGTCGTAGAACACAAAGTGGCGTACCCATGTCAGAGGGGTATTTCAAATAGTTTTTGGGTGCAACAGGGCATTCCAGTCTGCCACATTTTTTGGAGTTATTTTGGCATTTCCTTCAACCTTTGGGCCTGTTTCGCAATGTTCTTTAAATATAACAATGTTGTGCAGGCAAATTTTGTTCTCCACTTGTGCACAGCCACATTCTTTGCTTGAATAGTACTACTGGACCAAAGTGCCTCTAGGCACCAGCCAAAAGGAAAGAGAAAGCGCCTGTGGCAGTTCGCTCTATTCTGCAAAAGGAGGCTTGGAGGTACTGGTGGTTTACAAGGAGAAAGAAGGGGGGAAAAGAACAAGGAAGTCCAAAACACGTGTCCTTCATGATGCCGTTTGATACACCCTGAAAGGCAGACAGGACTCGATGAACGAAATAAATAGGGAAATTATGCCCTCACATACGTCTTTATTTGCATTGCACCCCTCTACCAAGGGGCTTCCCTGCCATGCCACTCCAGCCCGGAATCTCTTAGTCATGTTTATGTCGGAAGGGAGCTAACTTTGCACCATTCCCTTGCCCGGCGAACAGTCAGGCCCACATCAGTCAATTCCCTTCATGCCCCCGTACGCGGAGGGATCTCTTTGGCATGCCACCCTGTCTCTCTGTTTGTGTAGCACATGTGACGCAATTCGCCATTTACATCACGGGCGAAGCAAAGAGAGAGTGGGGAGAGAAAGCCCTCCACGACTGTGTATGTGTGTGGCAGTTGTGTCTCTGGCCCTCCAATGTTGTGGAGCACGTTGATGCAATCACATCGTTCCACTCTGCTCTCTCTCTGGTGGGCTCCACTACTGGACGGGGCATCACTAGAATTTTCCGAAAAGAATCGTTTTATTAGGGAACTTTTCCTTATGTCCTTCAAAGAGGATTTCATTTGTGTTATGCCCCACAAGTGCTCTTACGGTGCTTGCACACCCCTCTTCACAGCAGGCTGAATTTGTGAAATACCCTCGACGTCACTTGGGCCTGCTGTATTTGCAGTGTGCGCTACCGATACCGGCTCCAACTTTTCAGGGTGCCACCGCAGGATGACCGTTCGGAAAATTCTAGTGATGCCCTGTGACGTTCAACCTCACGCCCTGCGCTGTCTTCCGGTCGGAGTGATAAGTTGTGCGGAATAGGCCCTGAAAGACAGCAAAATGGGGTGTGCCAAGGATTTCTGGGAAATTGAGTGTGGGGACACAGATGGAACTGAAGTCCCCCGCGTGGTTCCGGTTTGGTGAGAAATGGTCACCGCTGCATGGGAAGGGAACAAACGCGCGAAATTTTCAAAGATCCATTCAATCCAAAAAGTATCGCTGAACCTCCGCACGTGATACGTGCCGTCTTTTAGAGTGGAAAGGCAAAGGTACACACGTGGGATCTCGTTTTCGAATCAGATCCCGACGCCGCTCATTACAGAGCTCAGAATCCGACGTGGATGGCCTCAGCCTGGTTGCTTGTTCCTTGTGTTTGTTTTCGCCGCGTGTTCAGTAGTGGTTCCGATA